CACTTCGTGGAGTATGTCATTTGATATTGATACCCCACGAGCTGAACCAGATATGATGAGAGGAGGTCCTTGCCCGAAATTATAGCTCTTCCAGAGTATATTTCGACAGCAGAAAAGTTATGGTTCCAGCTTTCTGCTCGTGGAGGCAGAGCGTTTTCTGTTTGTTGGTTCAAACATAAGGTGAGTTGTCAGTCCGGAAGTATCTTTTCTGGCAGTCTGTCCAGATACATGTAGTGGAGCAAGGTCCATTCGAGATAGATAGACAGAAGAATATGGGCCTCGCTGCACTATCTCGAAATGTGCAAAACGAGAGTGAATTTTCCGCTAGAATTCGGAAAGATACACCGCCAAGATTTTTGTCTTTTGTGCATGTCGAGAGTACTGCAGCAACGCCCTATAGCTTAGGTCCATTCTTGGGATTGCACCTCGGACGGCTCTGAAATCACAATTTCAAAATCCGAACCCATAACGTTCTCCACAGATGGCAGGGACGTCGCAGAAGGATATAATCTCAGCAGGGTCTCATCAGAAGCATAGTGTTCCCCTCGTGGCTGAGGGTGAAAGAGCATCAGATGTTGCCAATGGTAACTGGTCCATTGGACCACAAGATGACAAATTGGATTAGGGGCCTACCCGACCCACATCTTAGGAAAAACGCATGGCTGTTCTCCGCTGCTGATCTGCACAGATCAGCGGCGGATATCCTCTGCCCGTTTTTCTTATAGAAATAGGGTCCTGGCCGATCTTTGCCGCTGATCTGCGACGATCGGCGGCCAAGATTGGCCACTTTCTGTACTTGAAAAATCCGGGCCTACAGGACCCGGTTTCGAAATTGCGGGGCAGGGCCCGCCCCCACCAGTCCTCGGGAAGACATACGCGCCGACAAAAAAAAAAATTCAGCCCCCAGCGAAAATGCGCTGGGGGCAACCGGGAGGGAACCGGCCCGGGCCACCGGCCGGTCCAACCGGAAGGACTGCGGATGGGGTAGGGGTCCCCGGTCCATCCAGGGACCAGCCCTGGAATAACCCCATTTGGAGGGAGCTATGCACAGACAATGTCAAAACGAGTCCAAAACATGCAATCGTAGATGGTAGCACAATATGTGAAGCTTTACACTTTTCGAGGACATAATGCGTTAAACAAAAAGAACTGGAGTGTTCTTGTGAACGCTCTAGAATCGGCCTTTTGACTCGTCCACTCGGGATTCATAAGTCATGCTCGGCTGCACCCATCATACTTCTCTAGGGTCTGTGTGAGGTGTTCTTCGCTGCACCCGTCAAACTTTTTCATTTAATATTCCTGAGGCTGTTTCGTTGAGACTGCTGTTTGCCCAATGCTGGACGGCAATGACGTGCTGGCAGAAGTCAGGGGGCCGCAGTGGGCTGCCCAGACTCATGGTCCCGCAAAGGAGCCTGCTATTGGACCACGTCACTGGACTCACATATACAGGGATGGTCCCTGACTTGCCACTGGGGACACCCGAGACAACGGTGGTTAAAGCTCATTTTGCCCAAACCAGGATGCAAGGTCAGTATTGGGTCCATCTGCAGGCCAATGGGACTGAAAGTGGTAGTTCGTAGGAAGAACGATCTGAATAGCTTGCCGGTGTGGAGTGGCGTCCACTATTTGGAAGAGAGAGAAAGCAGCAGATGCCAGGTGTTGAGCCCCGGTGATTCACTGATGAAGCTACTCCGACCGTCTAAGGATGTGAATGGACACTATGGCCTAATGATCAGCAAAGTGGGGAAAGCATCAGTAATCGTCCATGGGAGGCGAGTTACTGATTTGGTGTTGCATACTCGTGAAAACTTCAACAAGTATGGGCAGAACCAAAGATCAACCAATAAAGGATGAGCATGTATGCAACGGAAGTCTGATAAATGGGCTGACTCACATAGACTGAACTCATACAGATATCACTCAACACACAAACAATCGTGAGATGGTGGGGTCTGAGCCAATCATAGATGATGCTCAGGCCCCGTACAACCATGCACAGATGAAAGATGGGAGGAGAGACGATGGAGGTGGGAGATGCAGGCAGTGCCAGATGTCACCAAGATAGAATCCAGTAGGTCACTGATATGGTAGTCCAAAATGCCATCGAACAAGATCAAAATGTCGTGGACAATAAGTCACCAATGTAGGAGGTACAGAGTCCTAATGTAACCGGTGTCCAATCTGTGATGCCGCCGAGTATCAATCCCAACAATCTCCAAGTCTCGAATCCGGTAAGTATCACAGCCTCTTACCACCGAAG